AGGAAATCCCTTTCAGCCTTTGGCTTTGATCCCTTCCTTTTGCATTTGTGGTAACTGTACTAGATTGTGGACCCAGCCTCTGAACAGTGGCCATCCACCCCACAGCTTTGATCCATACCTGATTGCCAGTGCCCCAGAGCATTTGCCTCCTTGAATAGATTCTCGAATTAATCTCCTCTCCACCTCACAAGCAATCCTGTGCTTGAGTTGCAGCACGACCCGACAGTCAACATACACGATACAACAACCTTCCATCCACCAATCATCATGCCTCCCAGCAAACACACCCTACCCTCCTCCCTCCAGCATCATACCATCTACAGCCCAAACCACCCCTCCAACATCCACCCCACAACCCCTCCCACAGTCCACACCGCCCCAACAGACACTGTGCCTCCCCTTTTGGAGCCACTGTCTGCCAGTGCGTCACTTGGCCCTTCGCATGGCTTTTGTCGCTTCTGCCTGACATTTTTCGCCCACTGGATAGGTCATACCCTGACATGGTCCAGTCTTAGGTGCGCCACCGCCTATGGATCTGCTGGCATCTTTCCCTGCACGACAAGGCAAGCAATGGCCACAGCATGGACCTGATCACTCAGACCACCTGTGGTGGAGGTGATCGATGATGACTGTTGTGATCAGCGCCCTTCTAATGGTTAAATCCTGGCTAGGCCACCGCGCTCCAGGTCATTATGGGAAGATGCACACTTCCGTTGTAAGTAGAGCTGTAGGACCTGCCCCTTGTTCATGGGCGGAGGTGAACGGCGGTGAGACTATAGGATAGTAGCCGTGCTACTATGAGGCATATCCTCCTTCAGTGTTGATGCTTGGTGTGCACCGTGAATCTTCCTATCGTGCAATTCATCAATGGTATACGACTCAGCTATTTGGGCCCTCGGGCTCAACTATTGCCAGCGTAGAAAAAGGTCCTCCGGACCCAATAGGTGTTAACCTAAATAAGTAATTCAATATACATAGCGTGATAGGGTTTAGCGTCAGGACGAAGTTCTACGTCTGTAGTCGTCCATTTGTCGCTTTCCTAAAGTACCTTCGAATCGGTCGGAGCACTTGGTTAATAAGCATGAAGTGGTTCCTGCTCTTCCTTATTTACCTGGTTTTGACTCTGGCATATCTGCCTTAAGTCAGGTTGTTCGTATTTCGCGTCAAGAATCTTCTGAGACATCTGTACTGTCGCTGACACGTAGATCATTGAACTTGATTCTTAGATCGGAGAGAATGTCTCGACCTATGATCATGTCATACGCCCCCAAGTTCTTGGTGGCGTGCAAGTTCCATTCGATAATTCTATCACGTGGAACTCAGGAATCAAGTGAGCCTTACACTTCGTGCTGGGGTTTAATTCCTTTACAGGGGTAGTCCATAGTGTTTGGACGCCCCATGATTCTTCATGCTTAATCTCTTAATAATTTGGGTAATCAGTTCCGATGCTTCTGTATCCAGTAAGCAACGGAGTTGACGGGTTTTTGTTTCCCTTTTTTCGTCTGTTAAACTAACATAGACGATAGTTTTGGGTCTCTTGTTTTGCGACGTTGACGAGGTGGTTGGCCACGGACGAGGTTAACAATCTGGATAGATCGTCAGAATCTAGTTGAGCAGTTTCTAGGCAATTATCTAATTTGCCGTGACTTCATCAGTTGCAAACAATTCTTGTTACTAGTTAGTGAATATCTTCATCACTTAGATGAGAAATCGGAACATGGTTCCGTTGAATCATCATCCTGGCCTAATCCTCAGACGGAGATCTCTCCATCCGAATGATTGAAGTCGAAGTCGGCAAGAGCCTTGTCGACTGCAGCCATTTTCTTTCCATCATGTTGAGGGACCCGACAGAGGAGTCATCCTCGTTGTCAGAGTCGTCCGACTTGCGTTGGCAACATGGTTGCATTCGCTTTTCTTCTGCGATCCGCCTTGACCGCCGTTGGAACTTTCTTCATAAAGACAGAAAGTTCCTTCTTTGTGTAGGACTTGGCGTCGTCGACTTACGTTTCCAAGTCTTGTTCTTGTTGTACGCTGGTTGCTATCGTTGTCAGACGAGGGACTTGGCTTTGAGTTTCTTCAGAGTCATGCAATCAGCAGTATTGTGAGTGCTGGACTCGTGGTAATCACACCACTTTTCTTCGCTCTTGGAAAATGGTCGTTGTTGCGAGTAGACTTGTACTTCTTGCTGTTGTTCTTCTTCGAAGGAAATTGCTTGGCATCACTGCCTTTGTCAAAGTCTTCAGCGGATTCCATGCGCTCACAGAATCCAATGAGCGCTTCATCTCGGCAGTGAAAGGATCGAAGTCGTGTTCGTCCATCTTGCACATCCAGGAACGAGGAATGCCATGACAGATGATTCGATGAATTCGTCCTGGTCAACTGTTGATTGCACCGAAAGGTGGCAAACGTGGAAGCTCATCGGATTCATCCGAGTGAGGTTGTTGATGTAGGCGCGAGTTGTCATTTCGCTAGGCTTACGCATCTTGCGACGCATGAAGCGTTTCTGTTTTTCGAGAGCCTTGTAAGGGCAGGCTGCTTCGATAACCGCGTTGATTCCAAAGGTGATGTCAGCATCGCTTAGAGCGGTTCCGCTGCACCGTCCCATGCGGCTTGGACACGAGCCTGGAAGGCAACTTCGGTTTCTCCAGAAGTCACATCGCGTGGAGGAATTCGTTCACAGCAATTTGTCGTAGGGCGTATGACGCACGGCACGATGGCCTGCACACCAGCTTCGTAGGCACTCTTCGCAGAGCTGGAAGTCATCTCCTTAGAAGGCGATGTTTGTCGTCGGCATTGGCAAGGTTGAGTCCAACGAAGACCTTCTCCATATTCGTAGCCACTTGATGGTCTGACGTGGAATGTTGGAACCATTGATGATGGTACCTTGAAGGTGTATTTGCACTGTTTGCATCTGCAGGAACGGTGCGAAGTTTGTAGGTGGTTGCACGAGAATCGTCGATCTCGGCGTCTTCGTCGTTGTCCACGAGAGGAAGAATGGGTTTGTCACGCAACTGTTTCTCGAAGTTGGTGAACGCATGCTTTCCTTGAGCAATCTTCATGGTGAAGGAATAGGTTGAGGGTAGCTGAAAGCTATTGTGTTTGTTAACAAAATGCACTACGCTAAAAGCTAGTGTAAAGATCATTCGAGTGTTTTGAGTTTGAGAGAATGAAAGTTATGAGAGATTAGAAAGCTACGAAAACTAATCCATGAGAGAGATCGTTGTGAAGCTCATTGAAGTTGGTCTCCCGCGGGAGGCCTCGAAGTGTGATATCGTAGGTTATGGCAATAACTCTGCGTACTCCACGGTCCATTTCCGGAACACGTGGAAACTTCAGCTAGTAGCTGTCTAGTAGCGTGGAAGCTTTCCACGCCGGCCAAATATCTAGAGCGATGTTTCATCGACAACCTAGTATGACTAGCAGTCATGAGAACCATGTCTCAATGACTATTCGTGAAGGACTACGTCATGAGTCGAACTCAAACCCTATCTAGGATCGAGTCGCGAATAAGGCTAAGAGCCGTGTATTGCATGAGGATGGCGGACAATACACTTTGGGAGATGCGCAGCTACAGCAATTCCTTCAGCCACACCAGCAGCTGGAACAACATGACACTATTGAAATGGACGATGGTAAGTTTATCTCAAATGGTCTCGCACCGTAGCATTTTTTCTTTTGCTCGACCTCAGTTTCTTACTCTCGTCTTCTCACATGTACATTAGAGCAAGAGCAGGGAGAAGAGGATCAGCCACAAAAAAAGAGGCCCAAGCTTCAATTGGACACTTTGGTCAAGGCAATAGAGATAAAGCCGTTTAAGGTGAAAGGGGATGCACCAGGCTTCATTTGTCAGAGAGACTGGGTGGAGAACGCCAAGCATGAAATTGAAGTGCAAATGGCATTAACCGACAAGCTAAGACGGGTCGCCCCCTTGGCAATCTCTCGTTGCAGTCGTGGAGGCAAGACTCGAGCCCTCTACGAAATTGCTGATATGAACTTCGTCTACAAGCAACGTCCATTCAAAGTTATCTTTGCTACATTCAGTGATTTTTCGGAAATTGAGCCTCATGAGTATGAAGATCCAGTTCAAGCACTGCTGATCAGAATTGCCTTTGTAGCCCTCAAGGACAGGCCCGACGAACCTGAACCAGACGACTTCTTGGATTTCTGCAAAAGAAGAGAGTATGTGCCGGAAGCTGATATTGAGAAGTGGCTTGGGGATACCCCCGCACTGCTTATCTTGGATGAACTGAATAATCTCACGCCTTTGAGTTCTGAGACGAAGTCCAAGAGTGTCACTCAGTTTGCAAGGTTTATCAAGGGGAATTTCATAACTCCGAGGGGTTGTTTTTTCGTTTTCTCCTCTCATGTTGTGTCAACTCTGCAGAAGTTTGGGAATTACTTGGACCCTTCTGAAGCCAGTGAGCGCGATGTTATTTTGCAAGAATTGCCCCTCATTGATAATCTGCGAGACGCAAGAAACCTGAAAGCCAATTTGACAGGAGCCAGAGAAGCTGTTTACTATGGCTTGATGCCTGGGCTCCTTTACGACCAGAGCAACAAATCTGTCAAAGCAGCAGGTGTGAAGAAGAATACTGCCATGACCAAGCTCAACACAGAATCATCCCCTGGCACACAAAGTTCTGCATTCCTTGCAGTTTTGAGGTCATTGATCGATGGTAACTTGAGGGGCATGCCCAGCTTGTTGCATGCATTGATAGATGCAAGCCACACAGATGGAGAGATTAGAAAGATTCGGTGGGCTCCATACCATTTGCGATTTGTGTTTCAGGAGCTGGATCTTGAAGGCGATTACAGTGAATTGAAGTCAAGTATGGCCGAACTTTGCCATCAAGTACTCACATCGAAAGCTGCTTCTGGTGATGCCTGGGAATGCCTCTTTGTTCTATTTTTGATTGCAAGGTGCGTAACTGGCAGTTGGCTTCCAAGAACTCTCCCATTTACATTTCGCCCAAACGAAGTTCCTGTGGTAGAGTACAATCCGCCCCCATGAAAAGTCAAAATGTTTGGACAGGTGTGAGAACTGGAGTGATCTGAAGAGTGGCTTCAAAGTGCCATCGGAGTCAACCATATCAATCTTCTATCCCACAGATGCGAGTTTTTTTGCCTATGTGCATATGACGTTTTCGTCATTTATTCAGCAAGAAAGAATATCACGCGTGTCTATGGATACCAGTGCAAAGAAGGCAAACATAATGCAGCACAGGGTACGGACAGTGACATCTCCCTTAGTTATGTGATGAAGGGACTGGCGCCACAAACGGAAGCAACCAGGAAAGGTTGGGTCATCTCAGGAGAAACAGATATTCAAGAGTTCTATGGTATTTCGGGGATGCATTGGACACCCAACAAGTGGAGAGAACTGTTGGAAACTGATCAAAGCTAACTGGGCCCTTTGTCTCCCATGGCCTTAACCTCGAAGGAGACAACAAGACCCTAGAGTTCCTCTACATTGGCGCTACAAAGGATGAAGCCAAAGAGATCATGACGCTCATAGTAGAAGATGGTTGTTTGCATCCTATATCCTTCCTTCAGGACGTCGCCTCTTGTATGGGTACTTCAGAGAAAGTCCGAGAAATGGTCAAAGTACATTAGTCTCCCTGGGTTCTTCATTCGCTCGGTCAACAAGAGTAGCAAAGAAGTCCGTGACACCTTCATCAAGGTTACCGAACTTCCCTCTCATGACGTGTGATGGGCACCAGGATCGGGAGCGGAGCTTCTCTACAATGCATTTGCCAATCGCGATTTGAAAACCAGAAGACCTCAAACTAACGAGCACTTCCAGGAAGGCCTCTTCATACGACTGTGAGTCCCGGATTTGGTCCAGCTTCAAAAAGGTATCGTGAAAGTCGCATGGGATCCTGAAAGTCGTTTGGAAAGTCCCATGCGACTTTGACACCACTTTCCGAACGGCTTTCAGCGACCACGCGACTTTATCGTGTTGTTATGCAACGACTTGGAACGACTTTCAAAGTCACGTGGAAAGTTGCATGCGACTTCCATGTGACTCTCATGCGGCTTTTCACGCGACTTTGCATGCGACTTTGGAACCTTTGTGCCACTTTAGTCTCGTTTTGGGGATTTTGGGGATACAAATCACGCACGAAAGGGCCTTCCTGGTCTTAGCAGGCGCGAAAGGGCCCGTCTTCTTTGCCATCTAAATTAGGAATTAGATTAACCTTAATCTTAATGAAGTGGACAGAGGTGAGATAAACCATTATTACCTCACCTCTTGTCCTCGGTCCAACCACTGACCCGGTTTTTCCCATAGTAAAACAGTACTTTTTTCCATTCGTAGGTCAGAATTTACTTATGGTGGTCCAACAACTAACCCCAGTATAAAAACTTAACAAATAACAAAAAAAGACTTAATGGGGTAGTTGGGTGGAGCATAGCCCTATAAGTAAAATGAAGGTCCATGGATTGACCCCAGCCTCCGCGGCGGATGAGCGGTAACATACTCTAGAGGGACCGGGGACAACAACAAACCAGCCTCGCGGCGCATGGGCATCAAAAACTATTCGATAGTTAGCTTTTACCTTTTATTCGATAGTTAAGTTATTTTTTATTATTCGATAGTTAGCTTTTATTCAATAGTTAGTTTTTATTCGATAGTTAGCTTTTATTCGATAGTTGTTTTTTATTATTCGACTGTTAGCCTCTATTAGCATCTAGTAGGACTAAGCGCTTAATTTCGGTCACACCATGCGCGCGCCAATATAAGCCGACATGCCTTCGGTATCACTTCAGCATTACCGACCCCATCATAATTCCAGTTAACCCCACAAAAAAGAACACGGCAAAAGATTTCCGTCCCAAAGCGTCACAATGGTCCATCACCGTACCCTCTTTCTCGAATGCACTTATTGAACGTCTTTCGAGTTTACCTCCGGACGATGCCCTTTACACCACTTTTGCAATCGTCAACGATGACACTGGCAAGATTTCGTGGGATACATCAAAACCCCCCGCCGATGTTGCGTCAACGCGTTATACAAACTTGTAGGAGCATCATTTATTAGAACATGCCCACGAGTTTACGAAGTTCTGATGAAAATTCAGTTGAATCCATTCGAAGAATTCGGTGTAGACGGCAATTCCCTAGGATTCCGTATTCCCTAGGATTCCGTATGCACATTGCCCAGTTTAGAAAGAAAGTGGACCATGACTGGGAAGGTGTAACGTAGTAGATATTCTACTAGTACAAGGGTGTGTTTACTATACTAGCTACCGTACCGTAGCGGTACTACCTGGTAGCTACTACCAGGGGTTTGGGGCAACTTCTGGATTTCGAGATAATGTGTTTCGAAATACGTATTTATGCGTAACTACACGTAATTGCACGTAACGGATCGTAATGGCATGTAACTGCACGTAGCTCAAGTACATCAATTACCATAGTAAAACGTAACTGCACGTAACGTAACTGCACGTAACGTAACTGCACATAACGTAACTGCACATAACTGCTGTGTTATGTAGACTGTTACCGTGCCGTGTTAAGTTGGTAAATCCTATAGTTGCCCCATACCGGTACCCCGGTATCGAGTACCGTACCAACTCATTGAAAAACTCTGGTAATGTAATTGGGGATTGGAATACATCCAGCAGAAGATGCTAAAATACAAAAACAAATGCTACGCGGCAATACTCCATACTCTTGGGCTCTGCCGCGTAACATTTGTTTGGTGATTTTGTCACTTTCCTGTGGAGAACAAGAGCTCCCCAACTGTCAACACGGCGTTTTGGAGCGATTTTTGATTTTGAAACCTGCACCAGTTCAGTCGTGTATACCCATTCTTTCAGTCATGCCCTCTAAGTCATTAAGTCATTTCGTTAAATATTTCCATTAAGCTCCCCATTCGTTCACTTGTGGGTATATGGACCGCATTTGGTGTTAATGCTCTACTTTCAAATGGCAACTATAGGTTTAACACTCATCTCAAACAGATAGCAGAAAGAAATAATGGCTAGGTCAACTTTGAATTTCTCATTACCCATACCTTTCAATGCGTCGGTACTGTATGGACACAATTTTGAGAAGTTCCAAAAAGAAAAAAGAAAAAAAGCTGTGGATACGGTCATAGGGACATACTGGGTCATTGACGTCACTAAGTATCTTTTCGATCCGTACCAATGCCTCCAGAGCCTGACCTCCAAAGCTCGATCCGATCCAAAGCCAAGGACAGACCGTTGCCTTCCACAAAAAGACCTGGCAACCCAAATTCAACACAATCTGGCATCTTTTATCTTTTTCTGTTGCTTGGTTGTTTGTTGTTGAGACAGATAGTTTGAGTGAACGGTCGCAACGAACCTATCTACTCATCCATCTTTTTTTGTTGCCGTAGAGAGAGAGCGACATTAGAATTAGTATTTGAGAAAGAAAGCAGCATGGGTACTACTACCACTGGCAACAGCGGCGGCGATTCGGATTTGACTCGAACCTCTCGTCGCAGCAAAGCCATCCAGTCTCGATGGAATGCATCCTTTTTCTTAATGGCAGTTGCTGTCTTTCTCTTGTTCAAGGCAGGCGAGGCGGGTCAGGGTGCTGTCGAGGAACCAGTGCTGGCGGAAACGCAGTCCACAGAACCAGTCATCATGGATCTACTACCATCCATGAATAAGAAGCAGTTGAGCCAGGAAGAAGAAGAGGCCATGGAGCTGCAACAAATGGTAGAAGACGTGGAAGAGTATGAAGCTGCGCTGGCTGCTGAAGCTGCCAAAGAGCAAGCTGCCAAAGAGCAAGCTGCCAAGGAACAAACTACGAACCAAGATAAGGAACAAACGGAACAGGTTAGAAATAACAAGAAACAAGAGGAATGGCAGGAAGCACGCCCCAAGGCACGAAGAGCCGCGGAGGACAAAAAGGACGACAAGAAAGAAGAAGAAAAAGAAGAATTTAAACTACCGGAACAAATCCCCACCATCCCGGCGGCTTCCCAGAGTGACAAAATCAAGGCGTTCAAACAGAAAACCCGTCCGAAAGTCCCCTATCAATACCAGCGTCGTGCCGTGATTGATCAGGACCCCTCCAAGAAGAACGATCGCAACCGAATCCGAAAGGAATTGGGACAAAAGTGGGGGACATGGAGACTCCAAGACCCCAAGTTCAAGGATCGCCCGCAGGAGGATTTCGCCAAGCAATTCCCCAGTCGGGATATTCCCTGGAACAAATTCCCACCATCGGCATGGCAAGTCGACCAGGAATATCTCAAAAAATTCTTACCCGAGGCAAAGGCACTCGTCGAACGATCCATGGAAGCCATCTTGGCCGAATATGGTTGGTCCAAGTTTGATTTGCCAGACCAAACTTTGGAGGAGAGATATATGGGAAAAGACGAAGAGCCACACAGCTTTCGAACTCCAATTATCAACGTTACGGATATTAGAGATCTTCGACTGGGCAACGATTACGGAGGATGGATCAGTGAAAAATACTATAGAGGGTTGATTCGTCGCATCATGCATGCCATTATTACCGGTGATACATTTACCATGGTCATGGGAGGGCACTCGGCATCGGCAGGACATGGAAACCATTTTCAACAATCCTACACACTCCAGTTTTTCAAAGTTCTGGAACCTGTCTTTGCGCGATTGGGAGTCAAACTTAACACTCACAATGTGGGATTTGGAGGATTAGGAACGTTGCAGTCGTCAATGGGATCCAAAGACTTGTACGGACAGGAAATTGACATGTTGATTTGGGACTCTCAAATGACCGAAAAATCCAACGAGGCATACGACTTTTTCGCGCGTCAAGCCATTATGGCTGGAAAGAGAGTCCCAGTGTTTCTCAATGGCATGCCAAAAGTATTGGGAAGCCTGGACAAGGCCCAGGCTGCTGAGGTTGGCATGTTGGGGGAAGGAAAAGGCGGTGTTCCCGAAATTGTGAACGCCAAAATGGCAGAATCGGTCCCACATGCCGCTCGGTACCTGCGTTGTAACGGAGAAACCAGAGGACTCTGTCGCGAAAAAGAATACAATGGTACTTGCTGGATTGACAGGGATGACTATACGCCAAGAACAAATCAACAGGCAGAACCAGGCGGTCGAGCGAGTTGGCATCCGGGCTTCAGGGTAAGTTGGTTGAAGAGTCTTCATGCATGCATTGCAGCTTTCGGCTAGCGTACATCATCATGGGCCCTAACAACGTTTCTGTTTGTTATGCAGCAACACGCCGTTCGTGGTAGACTTATTGCTTTCCCAGTGCTGCGGGCGCTATTGGAAGGACTGACACTATGGGATGAAGCAACAGACAAGAAACTACCCGTGGAGGTATGGCATGTCGATGAGCACTACAAGACTCTCAAGAAAAACCTGGAGGAAATGCCCGAGAGTGAATCGCCGTGCTTTACTTGGAAAGACGTCGATCCCAAGGCCATTCTCTGCAACAAGGTGATGAGTGTAAGTGCTTGTGTCATTTTGCTTGTGAACAATCAAGTGACTGTCCCTTTGTGGGTCTCCAGCTCATTCAAGGGCGTTTGCTTTTGCGTCAACAGGCAGCTTCTGAAATGACACCAAGGGTTTTCCCAAAAGATACCCATCTTCGTCACTTGATAAAACCTGCGCTCGATGGATCCAAGCCTGAGCCACCTGGTTACGAATACTCACCGCCTGACGTTTTCAATCCAACAATGGAGACGCCCGATGGCGAGTTCGATTATCTAGCAGTGGTGGAGAACGGAGTAGACTATCCCGAGTTTATGGCGTTCGATAATTCACCTTTGCCACCATTTGCTCTACCAACCGGAAACAAGGTGATCCCTCTTGGTACGAAAACCGAGCTCAAGCAAGGAAAAGGATGGGGCGTCAGAGCCCCTGGCAATGCGGATGGTTGCGATGGCAGTTATGACGGCTTCTGCAATCGTGGCCAATTTAATCCTTGCTTACTTTATGGACACAATGACAACCGTGGGGGGCTGAGTTTTACATCGTTTTCCGGGTGGGGCATTTTCACGATTCCAAATGTGAAAGAGGGTCTCATTTTGATTCGTCTCGAGTGGTGGGGTTATGGCAAGGAGCACCCGGAGACGAGGGATTGGGATAAAGAAAATGACGGTGACGAAGCCTACGCGAGACGTCTTTCGGAAGAAGATGACTTGGAGGATGATGCGGACGATGCCTCCTACCGGTACCCGAACGACGCCGCCTACCCGAATGAAACCTCATTTGCCCCATATCTGGATGATGGCTACTACGTGGACGAGGTGGATGAGACGTTCTATCTGGATGAAGCTGACACAAGGCCTTTCGCCCACTGGAATACTACTGAGCCCGAAAGGGCTCGTCGCCTGGGTGAACCTCCGCGGCAACGAAGGCTGAAAGGGAATGAGAACTGCAACGAAATTAAGTTTGAGGTTATTGTGAACGGAAAGAAGACGGAATACAACAAGGCTAAGTTTCACGAGAGGCTCAAAATCTTCCAACGAGTGGTTCAAGTTATCGAAGTACTCAACGATCCCAACCTCACCAACGGAGTGTCGCATGATATCGAAATTGCAATGAGGATCACTGGCTGCGGGCACACCAATATGTGGGTACTGTCCGGAATATACTGGGCATGAGCTGTCTTTTTTCATTTTTCATTCCACAGCCAACCTAGCAACACCTCATACACAAATGCATGATACTCTTTAGAATAATGAAGTTTTTCTAGTTTGAGAAATGATGCGCAGCAAGTACCAGCCGTATGACTTGTCACTCAACTCCTGTGTTGCAGTTGAAGTGTCAGCGTTCGATACGTTGTTTCCTGCAGGAGTTGTGCTGGAGTTTGTTTTTATTTGGAATGTATTATGTATTGTTTACAGCTTGGAAAGCACTTCATCAGCGATAGCAATTGTCTTTTCAATATCTTCGTCTGTGTGTGACAAGGACATGAATCCAGCTTCGTACATCGAAGGTGCCAAGTACACTCCTCGCTCCAACATCATTCGGTGCCACTTGCCGAATTTCTCTCCATCAGCCTTGGTAGCTTCTTGGAAGTTCTTGACAGGTCCCTCCGTAAAATACCATCCGAACATACCTCCAGCTGTACCCCCACAGATGGCATGTCCATGCTTTTCGGCAGCATCGCAGATACCATCTACCAGTTTTTGGGCCTTGCGTTCCAACTCTTCATAGACACCATCCTCCTTGAGTTTCTTCATGGTTTCAATTCCGGCAGTCATGGCCAAAGGATTTCCACTGAGGGTTCCAGCTTGGTACATGGGCCCAGCAGGTGCGACCATTTCCATAATATCCTTGCGTCCACCGTATGCACCAACGGGGAGACCTCCTCCAATAACCTTACCCATGGTGGTGACATCAGGTGTGACTCCAAAGTATTCCTGGGCGCCTCCGTAGGCAACTCGGAATCCAGTCATGACTTCGTCGAATACCAAGAGAGCTCCATTGTCCGTGGCCAATTCTCGCAGTCCTTCCAAGAATGCCTTATCGGGTTTGATGAAACCAGAGTTTCCAACGACTGGTTCCAAAATGATGGCAGCAATTTCGTCCTTGTTGTCCTCAAGGATGGCTTTTACACTTTCCAAGTTGTTGTATTCGGCACAGTATGTGGCCTTGGTGGCAGAAGCTGGGACACCGGGAGAATCAGGCAATCCAAGTGTGGCGACACCAGATCCAGCTTGGACCAGGAAGGAATCAGCATGTCCGTGGTAGCATCCTTCGAATTTGATAACCTTTTCTCGGTCGGTGAATGCTCGGACAAGACGGATCATTCCCATGCAAGCTTCGGTACCAGAGTTTGTGAATCGGACCATTTCGACCGAAGGGACAGCATCAATGACCATTTTAGCGAGTTCATTTTCCAAAGGACACGGGGCACCAAAGGAAGTTCCCTTTTCCATTGTGGCCCTGACAGCTGCCAGGACATCATCATCAGCGTGTCCAAGAATGGCGGGTCCCCAGGTTCCCACATAATCAATGTACTTGTTGCCATCAACATCCCAGGCGTATGCTCCCTTCACCTTGTCAAAGACGACAGGGTTTCCACCGACGGACTTGAAAGCACGCACAGGAGAAGAGACACCACCGGGCATCAACTACAGAGGAATAATAATACATGTAAGATAGAATGCATGTGAGATAAGAAGGCAAACTCCAAGCAATCAGCAACCAGAAAATCACAATCCTACTCACAGTTTGAGCCTCAGCAAAGATTTCTTCACTCTTTTCAAAAGTGTAGACCGGAGTCTCTGTGGCGGCCATAGATCGGACAACATCACTGGTGCGTCCATAAGCCTGAGGAGTGACAAAGGCAGAGGCAGTGCCAAGGGCAAGAAGGGAGGCAGCGATTGTGAACTTCATGGTAGTGATGGGATGTACAAAACTGGCTGGGAGGGTGGATTGTGGCCAACACAAGAGATGTCAAGAGTGGAAAGGGCGAAGGCAGCAAAGAAAACATCGAAGTTGAAGCTCTTACAAAGCACGTCAGTTGCGTTCCTTCCAGGTGGAACGGATTTCAAATCAGCCATGGTTTCGAACTCTATTTATGCGTTCGCTCAACCTTTCATTGGCAATGAACAATGTCTATGGAATCACACTTTTACAACTCTCGAAGTTGAAGTTCCAAATTCCTTCAAGGTTTGTCCGTCCACTATTTTAAATAAGTGACTCGACTGACTCGACTCGACTTTCTCGTCTTGCAAGTGTGCGCGGTTCAGTCGTATGATACCAGTACCGGCAGTACTATCATAATACAAATAAGCAACACTGCACAGCGGATGGGTAATACGGCGTCCGCAATACTAGTAGTGGTTTTCTACAGTTTACTGTTTACTGTTTTAGGGTTTTTTCATTTTCAAGAGTGTGTCCGCAAAGATTTTATTAAATTTCATGTTTCATGTATTTGCCATTTCCCTCTTCTGTTGTTTTCCCTCGACCCTGAAAAAGCGACCTTCAAGCGAACTACCTGATTACTAGTGTGGTCATACCTGTACGTCGAGGACCATATTTTCTGTGTTTATCAAATACCAAAAAAAGCGTAAGCAATCATCATCGTTGTTGTTGTTGTTGTTGACTAGAGATTCCGCGGAAACGTTCCTAAGGTCTACTTGGCGTTGGCGCTTGCTGCTGTGGCCAGTGGACGTACCGATATTGCCTTGGGATTCATTCATCCATCTGCTTCGCCGACAAACAGTCGGCTTGACGCTTTCTTCGGCGACTCGTGCTGTGCTTCGTGGGCGATATCAGTGTGCTTCCTGGATAAGGTGGCGTTGTTCTTTTGAAGGATTGCTGGTAGCTGACATTGCTGCTGGTGGTGGCTGTTGTTGTGGCACTTCGAAACGAGGCCGTGACCTTGCAAGACTTTCTCTGTGTATTCTGACGACTCAAATCTCATTCGCCCTCGCAGATAATCATGACGATCGAAACTTCTGAAAAGAGCAAGACATCCAACATCCCCACGAATGGTGGCACACCCGCTGAAGACAGGACCCCGGGAAAAGTCAATAAATCGGGAGAGTCCGTGACTGGGGAGGAAAGCCTCGACTTGGAGACCGAGAAGGAAGGTGTCCAATTAGAGGCTAGGATGACGGTTAAGGACAAGGTGGTGGGCACTACCGGTACGGCTCCAGGTGCTGGAGCTGGCGATGTTGATGGCAGGCAAGTCCATGTTATTAGGGATGCCAAACAGCTGGAACAAGACGCTAGAAAAGTCCATGGTTTTAGGGACGGCAAACAGTTGAAACAAGATGTGGCATCAACATTTGCAGATCCCGGGGCTCAATCCGTTTGTGCCCCCAAGGCTGCTGAAGAAGCCAAGGAAGAAGTCGACGAAGAAACAGGCGAACGTCCACCTGGGGGCGTTCCCATCGTTCAACGCCGTATCCTGCAGCCGCGAGACGCTCCATATCAGAATGCTGGTGCTTACGCCGTCGACCATCCACTTGCCACTGAAAATCGACATCATGCTCCCAGAATTAGTGATACAGCAAGACGAGAGCTAGAGCCATCGGCGGCCATGGAGAACTTGGGGCAGCAAGGAATGGATTCTTCTGTGTCGCAAGTCGCCGCTGATGCTGAAGCTCAACAGATGCTCCGTGCTACATTGGTCGAAGAAGATGATGGTGAAATCGTGTACGCCAAGCCCGCTCTGGATGGATTCCAGGCGTTGATCCACAACCCAAAATCAAAATGGGTTCTCTTGGCCATTGTGCTGATCATTCTTGCTATCGTCATTCCAGTTGCCCTTTTGGCGCCGTCGGCATCATCCAGGGAAGACGATCCCGACAACTTGAACGTTACATGTGGATTTGCCTCAGCCTGGCAAGCTAACTACCAAGGAAACCTAAACGTCACGGAATCTGGAGCCTCTTGCCAGACCTGGGAGTCTGCTACGAGTTTTCGGCCAGAAAAGTATGAAAGCCTTGCCTTAGATTTGGATACCAACTACTGCCGCAACCCAAACGGAGAAAAACGAGCTTGGTGTTTCACCAACGATCCCGAGTGGGAGTTCTGCGCCGTACCAAATTGCCCTGCTGAGTTTGACCACGGTGTGGTTGTTGCTGACGCTGCCAAGTGGTTTGCCAACGATGAAGGTACACCTGAAATTTCAACTCTATACACACCTCAGGATTCCTGCGGCACAGCCGCCATTCGCCAATACGACTACAGGGGCACTATCAATGTTTCAAAAAGTGGAAGGCCCTGCCAACCCTGGAGTGACCAGGATCCCCACGGTCATTCTCGGCATCCTTGGACTGAGACACTGGCTGGGTTAAGGTTCGTACAATGGCTCGTTTTAGAAGGATGTCCTTGACATGATGGTCCTCCCGTCCCTCACACTCACCGGGGAAATTGTAGGGAGAACTTCTGTCGCAATCCTGACGGAGAATTGACTGGTACGGTCATCTATTTGATGTTGGTCTCAAATTGCCACCTTACACGTATCCTCAAAAGCATGTGACATTGGTTTCTGTGAAGCTTGGTGCTATACGGCAGATCCAAATGTGAGTTTCGCATCGAATTTGTCCATGCTTACAATGTCCGTTTTCAGTTCGTCTCATGAATTTCATTGGGTTGTTGTTTACACAGCTACGGTGGGAACTTTGTGATGTCCCAGTGTAAGTATCAGTGCGCAAGTTTTCCGCCATGCCTCTTGGTCGAAGGTGACTCCCTAATCTGGTTGATTTCCTTCACAACTTCCCGGCTGTCCAAAGATGTGAAAGCCGGGAAAAGTGCGGATCAGCAGCCGTGAAGCAAGATGATTATCGTGGCAACATATCCATTACAGAAAACGGACACACATGCCAGCGATGGGACTCCGATTCTCCACACAACCATGGGTATCTGGGCGATGAACGGGTCGACGGCCTCGAAGAGAACTATTGCCGAAACCCCAAGGCTGTAAGCGAAAGAGGTGAGAAAATTAGATACGAAAGTGTCCTTAGTTCGCATCATACGAAGGTGTCCTTAGTTCGCATCTGAAGCTTTTGCCCCCCCCCCCCCCAAATTGTCATAGCATGGTGTTTCACTACTAACCCCAACGTCCGAAGAGATTTCTGTTCAGTGCCTTACTGCCAAAGCGCGAGTGACGCTTCGGCCTCTAATATTGACTTTGACTACGGCTTCAACTTTTCAACAACCTGCGGTACCATGTCCCTCCAACAACGCGACTACCGTGGTTTTGTCAATGTCACACGTTCGGGAAAGCCGTGCTTAGAGTGGTCCAACCTACCGGTGGAAACGGGTGCTGATATATTCGTCACATTGAGAGACCATGAAACCCACTACTTGGGTGGTCTAGATGGACCTGGAAACAATTTCTGCAGAAATCCTTTTGTCGTCGGGCATCTATTGGAAGAAACAGGACACAAGACAGGTTCGTACTGGGCTCACCCGGTGGGAAACCCACGAAACGTAGCTCACGGATGGTACTCTTTCTTCCTTCCTGCTGGCGGCAGCGTTTTGTGTCAATACTGATGGCATAAGGGAAGATTGTGATGTGCCTACCTGCGAAGATGACCCATCGTTGTTTTGTGGATCCTTTGCTCTTGCCCAATCCAACTATCGGGGAACTGTGAACATAACCTTCAGCGGGCTCACTTGTCAACGATGGGATTCCATTTCCAACGAGAGTTTTGTTGAAAAATATGAAAATTGGGAAAAGCCTTGGGTCCCACACCATGATCCATTCTCAGCACTGGAGGAGAATTACTGCCGGCGCCCCATAGACCTACCAAATGCCCTGAAATTATTGGATCCACGTGGTGAACGCAGAGGTACTGTATGGAAGCTGAAGTTTCCGCCTAGTAGCTGTTGTATTGAAATGGATGTCAATTGACTCATCGGATGTTGCCTTTTGCGTTACTCCGAAGCCTGGTGTTTCACAACCAGCCCCAGCGTGCCAGTGGAGGTGAGATATACTTGGGGTTGCCCTGATACATGACTCCAAATGGGTTTATTGATCTCACATGCTTCGTAGTTTTGTGATGTCCCTTACTGCGAAGAAACAAACTCCCCACATTTCATATTTGACTACAATCTTCATGATCCGTGCTTCAACTGCTCGAGGGACCAATGTGGCACGTCAGTTGTGGGCCAAAGAGATTACTTGGGTGCACAAAACGTTACACTTTCTGGTAAGGCGTGTCGGCCGTGGAAGGAAACTCCCTACAACTTTTCGGTCTGGAATGATGATGGCTACTTGACGGCAAACTACTGCCGCAGCCCTTCCACGTACAACTCTGTTGGTGAAACTGGCCAAGAGAGTGCCGTATCGAGTGCAGGGTGCTTCACCACTGGAGCAGAGGCAGAATGGGAGTCATGTGGGATTCCCTACTGTTCGGATGAGTGGAGTGTCTCTTGTGGCTCACATCGTGTCAAACAGAGAGACTACAGAGGCTCAATCAACGCCACTGAAACAGGGAAGCCGTGCAAGCCTTGGTCGAGCGAGGGCAATCTTATGACACCAGATTCGAGACCATTGGATGGCCTATCGTCAAATTTTTGCAGGAATCCGGGTGGATTTGAAAAGGCGTGGTGCTACGTGGAGCCCACAAATGACGGCGACCCGTTTTGGGAATACTGCAGAGTCCCGCTTTGCCCCAGGGCCTAGTAGCTAGAAGATAGGATGGAGCTACATACAACATGTGCTCGCAAATCGAACTGATGGAACCACCCACCCGAGTAGTAATGGTTCAACCGCAGACCGCAGGGTATCTTCACCTGTTGTGTTTTGCAGTTAGCTACAAAGTAAACATTGCATATATTCATTCTAAAAAGACCCGATTGATTGAACTTGCATTTGCAGGATTCTTGCATGCCTGTGGCTTCCATCTTTCTGTTTTCCTTGTTGTCACACCAGTACAAGCTCAGTACAGTACGGTACAGTCGTAGCTGCATCCCAAACAGTTCCAGAGGCGGAAGTTTCACCCGCATCTGTTGAAGTGTTACTGGCTGGCGATGAAGACTAAAAGTTTAGGCGAAAGTGAGGTCCTCAAAAGAAAAATCGTTACTGGCTGGCGACCATACCGGTTGATCGTCAATCACGTGGTCCATTAACGCTCATGGTTCGCTTCCACAGCTGGTCCACCACAATGCCAACCGTTCACTCCAGCAGGTACTACACTTGTGTAGTAGCGGTACAGGTACCGGTAGCAAGCTGCTATCATACATGTAGCTACATCCTAGCTAGAGCCAGCAAGTATGCCATATGAGTGTCTTGATAGTGCACCATCGGCATCCCAGAGAGAACGGTGGTAGCTCATTGTGCCAGCCGCCCGGGACACGGGAGCCACGCAAGCATTGGTGACGGGCACGAAGAATAGCATGGCTGAGCCGAGCAATAAAGTGCCACATATTAATACCACTGAATAAGGGCGTTCCTCGCTGCCAAGAGGAAATAGTTTGGTGAGTGCCTCAGCTTGGGCCCCAAGGAGACCATCTCAGCAGAGGCCACGTACCGGTGGTACAAGCAATTGGCGGCGTCGTTGTGGCAAACTCAAATTGTGAGCAGGAAACCAGTGAGCTTCCACTGTCTTCCAGTTCTTCTACTTTAAATCTTTGCAAACGCTTCGTTAAATCTTGGTGCCAATCGTATCAAACTAGACAATTATTGTAACTTCTCTTTTTGTGGCATCGAATGACTTTATTCTGGAGGTTCAGTACCGTAAGTGCTTCGAATCTGTAAGCTTTCTTTTCCACGAGGAGAAGCTTATTGTGGCTGTCCATTAATTGTCCATGCATGGGATGCATCGAGCAGTGCCGCAGACCGCAAACACAAGGCAGCAACATAGTCTACCCACATAGTCGTCCGAAGTAGATCTATCTGAAGTAGTAACACAACCACGGGAGAATGCAGCCTCCAAGGTGGATAGTGAGTTGAGTCAAGATATATATACTAGTATTTCGTCTTTCAATCTCTCATGCCTTAACCAGCAGCAGCAGAGGCAGCAATTGATTGTCCAGTCACTTTTTTAATTAAAAAGTCAAGTCCAATCGAATCGAATCAGAATCTCCATGGTTCATCCAGGTGACTGTGTTGACTTGGAGTAAAGCATCGTTTGGGGAGGCGAGAGAGAGAGAGAGAGAGGGTATCATATCATACTAACAACACAAGTATCAGAAGAATCATCTATTATCTATTAAACTACGAGAACGAACCATAATGACGAGCGACGTGGTTTCGTTGCCCGCCAACTGGGGAAGTGACACCTTACACTCGGACACGAACAGTTTGAGCATTGTGAGCAGCTACGAGGAACCCCCCCTCAACAACCACGGTCCCCGTCACGAATTGGATCGCGATACGCAGCCACCCGAGCAACTACGACGACGGTCGTTATCATCTTTAAATGACACGGTCCACGACAATGCCACAATTTACACGGGAACGGATACCCTCGATACGGAAAAGACGTTGCAACGGGGATCGCTCTCCAAGAAACCAAGTCCCGACGATCACTTTGTCTTGAAGCCCTACGTGCGAAAACCCCGCAGTAGTCTGACGGGCAACAATACTAACAATATCCATGGTATGAGTAACAGTAACATGCAGGCACATCCCGAAGGAGGAGGGGATGGAACGACAGTTGAAGGGGTTCCCTCGACATTATCCTTTCCTTCTCCACCGTCCATGGAAGACGACGAATGGCCCACACGAGATAATTCCTCGGGAAATGCCAGTACCATACAGGAAGATCCAGAACAACAACCACCACCAGCACAACTTGAACGAGACAATTCCTCTTCCACCATTAGTTCGGCCAAACTCACACAAGAAAGTCACAGTCACAACAACCCAAACTCATCCCACAACAACAACAGTCATCATGACGACAAACGATCATCCAATGGATCCTCATCCAAACAAAAGCGATGGATCCTGGTGGGAATTACCGTCTTGCTTGTCATTGTCCTACTGGCCATTGTCTTGGGGGTATCGGTCCACAACAACAACAAAAAGGACAACCAGCAAACAAATAATAATAATAATACAGACACGAGCGACCCATTCGAAGAAGACACCATCATGTTGCCCAGGGAACAAGTCTCATTCCCCACCGAATCTCCATCTGCCGTCTCGACAGTGCCCACTGCATCCACCAATGCAACAACAACCACAGCGTCGTCGCTGTCGTCCAACACGCTTGTGATCATCATGAGGGAGGACCCTTCGTCATCCAATTCAACCAACAGCAACGACTTTAACAACCAGGAGGATTATAAACAACAAGACATTGTTAATTCCACCCTCCAACCGACGCGGGCTCCGTCACGGAATCTCAGGCGACCCATCATTTGAAACAAGGAATGAATCTACGATTTCCAAATGTCGTGGCTGGACACGGATCATTCCAAAATGCTCCGTCTCATCGAAGAAAGAATGAGTCTTCCATACGTACCAAAGAGAAGCAGACCGTATCGAAACTTCTTGGAAGAGAGTTATCATGCATCGATTCGATTCGGACACTTCACCATTCGTGATACCGGTACGAGACTGCCATTATTATTGGAACAAACATGCTCCCAACAACGAGCAGCAGTGGTCTGACTGCCTACCTACCTTGCAACAAAAGACGATTCGATTCGTTCGTCTGGTAGAAAGAACAGGATAGCGAGCTTTTCAGAAACAGTGCTCCAAAGAGAAAAGGTCTCTGGGCCACGGCACCAGCAAAAATATCGTTTCAAAGCCTTCGAGGCAGCACTATTGGAGGAAACTGACAAAGCTTCAGTCCGGCGGTCGAAGTGTTTCCCACCATAAAACCCATGAGGACCCAATCGACTGGCTCGACTGACTCGTTAGGCAACGTGGTCTGAACTTTTCTCGTGTTACAATCTAAAAAGGCTAAGATAACTTGTTACAGTTGTGGAATCTAAATCGCCCCATGATTGATTGATTGATAGGAGTTGACTCCAAACGACGTCCAATTTGATACCCGAACCAACGAGGCCAGCAAACCCATAACGAAGATGTACGCTAACAACCCAATGGCCACTGTCTTACGAGTGGCTTACTCTGTCTACCTTGTGTTTCGTCTAATCCCTGGTAATTGAGTGGGTGGAATGCAAGTCCATCCCAGTACTCATACGATTCCAACTGGTTGAAACAGCCGTATGAACGGAAGCCCAGTAGGCCGCTACGACCTATGCACTCTTCTTCTTGGCTTTGGACGCCTTTTTCCTGGCTTGCTCTTCCGCACGGAACTGTAGATAGATGACATCAGGACAATCCAACAACAAGTCATGAGAATTGTGAGTTGTGGCTGGCTAGCTAGAACAGGTTTCCAAACGTACACACATGTGTACACACCAGCAAAGCAAGCACCTTACCTGATCCATTTCTTGCACCATATCTTCCGGCAAGATGGGTCGAAAACTGGGCAACTCTGCCACAAACAAGAGGGAATGTGCCCATCCCGCCTTTGTTGTAAATCGGCTTTGATACAACTCTCCCACCTGTCGGTACACGGTGGGCGTCAGACTCTTTTTGGTTTGCAGGGTGGGATCATAGTCCCGACAAGCAATGTTCCAGACATGGACATCGACGGGAATGGCATCGGTCTGACGGAGGGAAAAGAGTGCCACGCAATCGGCCACTTTGCGTCCCACACCAGAGAATTGAATGAGGGCTTGTTGGACTTGATCGGGTGTTGTTGTTGTAGTAGTTTTGAGTTTGTACAGATACTCTTCGCCGCCTAGTGACTGCAGAGTTTTCATGGTTTCCAAAATGTACTTGGCCCGGTACCCCATACCGCACTTGTTTCTCAAATCGGCATCGGTAGCGTGTTGTTGGAGTGTTTGGAGGCTAGGAAAGGAGTAAATGTCCTGTTCGTTGCTCTTGGTATTGTTCTTAGGAAGCAAGAGGGTTCCATATTCTTGTCGAATCGAATTGAGAATCTTGTGAATGCGAGGAATGTTGTTGTTGCTAGAACAGATGAAACTGGCGAGACATTCCCATGGATCTTGATCGAGGATGCGGACTCCGCGAATGCATTTGGCAATCCGTTCCAGACGAGCGTCTTGTGTAGACCATTGTTGATAGAGTGGTGCTAGTGGAATGTCGAGTTGAAAATACTGATACAGAAAGGTTCTGACGTCCTTTTGAGTTTTGGATTGGGGTTTGTAGAGCACTCGGTAGAGTGTGCTGGATGGAGTTTCTCGAATGACCACTACCAGCGAACGGTCCTCTTCTTCCTTCTGCTGCTCACTTGTAGAGGGCGGCATTCGTAGAACACCCATCCACTCGGTGGCATTGTGTGTCCCCCACGCCGATGTGGATTGTTCCGTGGAAATTGCGTTCCAATGAAAGCATTGTCCATTGGTCAGTGTCGTGGACGGCCGTAATTCTTCCGGTGGGACTTTGAGATCTTCAAAGGCTTCGTCGTCTTCCGAGCTCTTGAGAGGAGTCACGATCGCCAGCTTTCTCCTTTTCGGCACCACTAATAATGATGGAGTCGAAGGAACAACAACAGCATCCTTCTGACATTCGGCGAGTTTTCGAAGTCGAGGACTGGATCGAATGGCAACGACACGCTTCATTATTCTGGGGCTGCTGAGAGAGGAAAAGCTGGCAACTTGCACTGGGTGGATCGCAATTTGAATAACCAAAAGAACAAAAGGAAAGACTGAAAGGATCATGCGTGGTTCCTGGGGACAAGAAGGAAGAGCAGAGGCTTGCAATGTTGTAGTGGTAGATTATATTGTTGTGGTGGTGAGAGAGAGGATCTTGTGATCGTTTTCTCGTGCAGCGATGTCGGACATTGAGGAGCCAATTCTAAATCCCGCTTTGCTGGCTTTTGACTCACCCATAGGCTTTCAGCGCGACTTTAAGCGACTTACAGCGACTTTGGCTTGATGAACGCGACTATCAATGCAAAGATCTCAAAGAAGCCAAAGCGCTTGGTCAGGACAATCGCGTTCCTCCTGGACGTTCTTGCTCCAGGATACCTTGGTTTGGAGAGCGATGTTTGGAAACTTGGAGTGGCTGCGGAAGTCCATAGTCTCCATGTTGGTCAGATCGTCAGTGCGACCAATCATGTGGAACTGAAGCTTCATCATGGTGGGAGTCTTGATCGTGAGGTCAATGTTGGCACCTCCATCACGCTCCAGGATCCGAATGGTCTTGCGGAATTCTCGAAGCTTGAGATCCCTCTTGGCATTGGAAGGAACGCCCTGCTTCCTGACCTCCGCTTCTTCACGGCTTTGATCACTTCGTTGACAACTTCGTGGACGAGTTGGATTCCCAACATTGGGACCAACCGCCCATGGTGCGTGCTTGTTGGGATGGAAGTAGTGATGGCTTTCTTGTACTGATCAAGAGTGGAGGATCTCCTGTGGGTGGGACGATCATTGGGACCAGGATTGGTCTTTCCATAGGCAAGGAAGTTGAGGAACTGGGCGACATCAGTGGGTGTAATTCTAGGAGCTGTTCTGAAGAACAAAAAATGAAGAAGATGGACCATGGGGTGAGTTACCGATCAGCGAAAGGAGGATCGCGCGAATGACAGATTTGGCGAGAACATACCTGCGTGAAACCTTGCTGCCCGTCGTAATGGCAGCGATGCTTCCATGACATGAACCTGGCGACCATAGGCCAGTAGGTTTGTGTGAGGGTCTTGCGGGCCCTCGCCATTGTGGTGAGCGATAACAAACAAAAGAGCAAGAGTAACAAAATAGCGAGCAATTTCAGCATAGCTATCGCTGTTAAAGTGCTGTATCGGAATTTATGAGAGATTTGGAGAGGAAATGAAGAGCCCACTCACTCCGACAAGAGGAAAATCCAACGGCCAACTCAGATCGTATGCCGTGATACGTCGGTTGAAATGAGAGGATGTTGCGCAGTTTACCCTCTCTCAGTGCTAAGAGAGGCATTCCAGACCCTTAAGTCTTTGAGTTTCGCGGAACGTTTGTGTGTGACTAGTTGTTCTTCGTACGATGAGGTTGTATTTGGTAAAGATACTTAGGGAATGTTGTATTTTGGGGTTGCCGATGCAAACTACCAATGCGATTCTGAGTAGTATGGGATACCCTCAAATGACTGGTTTTCCCCGAGAAAATACTCTCAAAGTCTTTTATGTATTACCATACCCCAATAAAGCATAACCATACATAGCACTGATTGGGGGGAACCGGTCACTGCCGGCGCTAGTAAGACCTAGTAAGAGTACTCCCCAAGTCCCACCAGTCGATACAACTCCCCTAAGACTGATACCCTCTACTATGCTAGTAGGGTTGTATATTGGTAATACGGTAAAGGTATCTGCTCCCTGACAAACCAGGAATACAACCGTGTACATGGAGTACCAGGCTCTACGTGTTACCCTATCTTTCGCTATGTTTTGGGTGTTTTTGCCTTTCTCCACTGACTGGAACATGCGAACGACCTGCAGGCTCACTGGAACATCGTCACTGGTATCAATGAACGATCTTTCGAAAACACACTGACGCACACAAGAGGAAGAAAGTCAATCCAAGCAAAAGATCGCAAGTCGCTCGAAACTCGCAAAGTCCTCGAAAATGCCAAGTCCACGAACGGCAAAGACAAAAGTCCATCAGATCACAAATGCATACACGGCTCTTAGCCTATTCGCGACTCGATCCTAGATAGGGTCTGAGTTCGACTCATGACGTAGTCCTTCGCGAATAGTCATTGAGACAGAATTCTCATGACCGCGAGTCATACTAGGTTGATGATGAAACATTCGCTTAGTATTTAGCAGCGTGGGCACTTTTCCAACGCTACTAGATAAATGCTGAACGAATCTTCCACGCGTTTCCGTTTTGGGATCGTGTAGAGAGTAGGATTGCTACCGCAATTTACTCTATCACACTTTACAGTCTCCCGCGGGGGGTCAGATCTACGATCCTTTTGTTGTAGATTATCTCTCTTTGATTAGTTTTTCATAGCTTTTCTAATCCTCTCATAACTTTTCATTCTCTCAAAACTCAAAACACTCGAAAGATCTTTCACTAGCTTTAGCGTAGTGCATTTTGTTAACAAACACAATAGCTTTCAGCTTCCCTCAACCTATTCCTCACCATGAGATTGCTAAAGACGCATACACAAGCTTCGAGTCCAAGCTGCGTGACAAAACAATCCTTCCTTCTTCATCGACCTCGATGCATGAATGCGAAATCGACGATTCTCGCCTTACCACCTTACAAACTTCGGCACTTGTTACAGCAGATGCTAACAGTGGCAAGTACACCTTCAAGGTCCAAATCATAAATGGATCTGAGACTCCACGTCAAACCATCAAGTGGGGTGGACGTATGGAGAAGGTCTTCGTCGGGCTTGGCATTGCTACGCCTGGCGACAAACACAACATCCTCAGGAAGATGACTTCTAGCTCTGCCAAGCGCAGTTACGAATCTAGCTGTGCAGGCCATCGTTAAATACGTTGTAATGCCTTGCGGCCGATTGCAGTCAACGGATTGCTCCACGCGATGTTACGTGGCGCGGAAGACGAAGCCACTTTTCCAAGACACGTTTTCCAGGCTGTGAAAGGAGCAAGCTCAGCCTGCTTTGGACGACTCTGATATTACGTTTGGCATAAATGCTTGTATCGAAGCGGTCTGTCCATACAAGGCTCTTGAAAAGCAGAAAACGCTTCATGCGCCGCAGATGCGTAAGGCTGCTGATATGACTACTCGTGCTTATGTCAATAACCTCAGTCGGATGAACCACGATGAACTTCCTCGTCT